GCAAACGTTTACATGAGTTGTTGAATACAACCAATGGGCCACATTCTCTGCGAAGGAGATGTGTTCCTGCTAGCAGAGTCGACTCTTCGCTCTTTCCTCTTTTTAGTTCTCAAGGCCAAAATTGTATTTTCTCGAGTACTGGCTTAGTTCAGGTTTCGGGTGGTACTTTATCTTGGCCTATGTTCATGATCGCTAGACTAGCAAAGAAAAAAGCTATTGTTAGGCCACCTTAAAAGAATTGACCGAAACAAAAAAAAGACCTGTCTGGCAAGCTAACCTCAAAGATAAAGTTTCCAGACAAGGTTGCGTTGTCAAATTAAAGAAGTCCGCTAAACTTTTTCAAATTCTATAAAAGGCTGAAAAACCTCTTTTAAGTCTGTGGAAAATTATGCTTACAACAGAGTTCTCGGACTTGGTCTTTCTGGCCTTTCTTCGTTGTGTTGAAATAAGCATTATAATCCATCAAATATTTTCGCTCGCGCGCGATTGGGCCAAACGCGTCACGTGAGCGAATATTCCCCAGCTAATAATAGAATATCCGAGGATATTCCCCAATTTTCAAAACCGCGCGTGCTTGCGAAAAATATTTGAAGGATAATAAACACAATAGCCTCCGTTTGGGGCAAAAATATGCTCGGATATTTGTCTGCGGACATTATCCGTTCCTCAAAGCAAACAGTTTTCCTCGAGCTACGCTCTCGGAAAACTGTTCGCTTCTCGAAACAGATTATGTCCGTGGACAAATATCCAAGCATATTTTCACCCCAAATGGAGGCTATTGTTTATATATCCAACCCTCGCTCGTGGAATGATTATTAAATACACCGCGAGGGCTAAGCCAATGAAAACTATTGAAATTGCATTATCCAATGATTCAGCTTTTAATAAGTTATAATAAATTTTTCCCCTAATTTTCCATCACTGTTGTTGAGGCGATAATACACTTCGCTGTTACCTAATCGACATGGATACTAATTAAACAACGAAAACGTACTATTTTAAACGTGCTACATGGTCAGCAGACCATAAACTGGGAGGTGGGGGAGGGGGGAGGGGTGAAGGCTGAGAGACGTCCGAGTTACTTATTACGCAACTCAGTGGTACACAAACAAAGTATTCGATCTTTCCTGTTTTAATTTTGGTGTTACCATCATTCTCAGTCATACAATCAACAAGCATTCGAAAAACTAACTAACTGGCCTTTTGGTTGATGATAGTTTTGGTTTAATTATAATTTCTATAGCTGCTTTTATTCGGAGGTTAACTTTTTTAAACTTCAGGCTTTGGGCAACAGCAGACACACCAGGGATAACATCTGGCACAACAACATTCCCAGGGCTCTCTCTTCAGAGCCTGGTCCAACGAACGCGAGGCATCTTGTACTTTCTTCATGTAAACAGCCTTAGCTCCTTCTACGTAATCGTACTCATTTACAGGCTTGCTATCTGTTTCGGTGACCACAGTCAGAAAGACGACCATCACCAGGAGAAAAACAATAAACGTAGGCTAAAAGAGGAAAAGAAATAGGTGATCTTTTATAAAAAGAAGGTAGTGCATGAAAAGTGGTTGTTTACCATTTACACGGGGGAACCGGTTCGTCAACGGTTGCTGAAAATGGTAAGCAAAAATCCCTGATGGTATGTTCCGTTCAGTTTGGCGACTTACCAGTTACTTCACAATCCTCAATTTACCGAAAGAGCCTGAGTAGGACGGGTTCGAACTGATCATAATTCCACGATGGTGGTGAAGAATTGCAAATGCAAGCAAATTTTCTATTCGGATTTCGGTTGGAAATTTTGGACTTCCTTTCAAGACGTTCGTTTTTTTTTTCTGAAATTTTTCGATCGTTCGAGCCAAAATTGTCTCACCATTTACTTTCTGATCGAAAATTCCGAAATTTTTGGGTGAATGGTCAACAACCATTGTCTCCTGTCTAATATGGGTGTTAACTTTCTCCCTACAATTTTTGTCAAATCTAAACATGAAGGAAATTTACTGCTTTTACCGTTGTTTAAGCAGCGCGTTACAAAGGGTGGTCTCCTGGTTAGGTATAAGAGGACAACTGCATCAAGCACAATCAAAAATTCCTATTGAATGTACTAACCTTCATTTTGTCTTCACCTTCTGTAAGCTATCTGTTCTCAACAAAACGCCTTTAAGAAATAATCAGTAAAATATTACATCCCATTGGCTTTTCAAGCTACTCCAACTTTACCTTATTCTGAATAGGCGACTTGTCAAATCGACCTCAAATGGGCCCCACTCCTCATAATATTTTAGCCAAACTATTTCGCCGGGGTGTGTTAGGCAGCCAAATAATTCTACGTTTTCTCAGATTTAAATTCAAATGATCTATTTACATAGTATAATGCTTCTTGCGTGTCTTGCTTCATTGCAAACAATCTTCTTCAAACTCATTAATAACTCATCAAGTTAAAAGAAATCAAATCATAACCTTGCCAATGTTTAGATATTTGATCTTAATCAGTATAGATTTTTACGATTTTATTTCTTTGTTTTCTCCTTAGTTTAAGTTTTGATTGAGACGATTAATCAAACACTCGAGATTGATAGTAGTGTTTTATCGCATTTCCATGCTCAAATTCTCTACTGTGCATCGTATTTTTAACTCTTTTCTCTCCGTATGGACATGTGGTCGAACTCGGTCTCACGTATTTCATATATCACGTTCTGGGCCTTCTTTCCTCAAATCTGAATAAGCCAAAGCTACCCCGCGTAAACCATGGAACCTTATTTTAAAAGATAATAAAAGATAAAAGATAATTAAAAAAAATTCTTTTCCCAACATACTGAATTTCGTTCCTTTTCTTCGAAATCAATGAAAATAGTCAATATAAATTTTATCAAAATTCACCAAAATGTTTAACAAAACATTTTTGATTTCGATGCTGAGCACAGACCAAAGGGAACACAGTTAAATATCTGAAACAGGGGGAGAGTTTCAGTTCCTAACCATTTTGTTTAAGTTGAGATGAAGCATCGCCTCTGAAAAATATTAAGGCGTGATTTATGAATCAGTTAATTCTAACCTTACACTTGCCTGAGGCAATGATGCTCCAAGTCTAGAAATCGTACGACCTGCTCTGTAAACTCTTGTGCCGGTGGCTGATAAAACAATGAACCACGATCTTCGCTTTAAATACTCTCTACAATAACGTGTGGATCTCTCACCTTGGCAGTTCCATGGAGCTGAAAACAAACTTGTTTGCAAAGCGCTCCCTGCTGTGGGTTAGTCACTGATGAGACAGACAGACAGACAGACAGACAGACAGACAGAGAGACAGAAGACAGTTAACTCTATATTTTACCGCCAGAGAATAGACTAAGAAAATTGTTTCGATACAACAACAGTGTTAAAAGACAGTGTGAACCTGAGTTTTTGATGAACATTTTAGAGGACACGCCGACATGTGTTGTAGTAAAACCAAAACTACCCTAAGTAGTTCTTGTTTATCTTTATTAAAAACCACTCAGGCGAAAGTGGAAAGTCAACACTAGTTTAAAACACTTTTCTTAAAAATGATTAAGTTAGTAGTCAAAGCAGATTAGCATTAACAGATCGAGTCAAAAAGGGGAGAAATACATTGACATCCATAGAAAATGGCTTAAGAGAACTAAACGTTACTATTGCAAACGCCCATTTCGAAATGGAAGGAGCAAGGTACGTTGAAGCGATTTACATACTGGGAAAATCTGCACCTGTTGCGACTTAAACTGTGTCTGACGATGCTTT